TATTGCAAAGTTGTATTGAGAAAGAATAAAATTAGTTTATTTAAGAAAGGACTTGTATCGTTGAAGTTCCTCGGAAAGAATTTTTTACGGGAAATTAACAAACGGACACAGACATAACAATATATATATATATATACTCACTATATTTTGCAGTGTGAGTTGTTTACCCTTCCCAACTAACCCTCCGTGATTTTTAAAGCTATTTTATAATTTAACAGCATGGTAAGTATTGTAAAAAATGTACTGTAGTGCAGTATTTAATATCTATAATTTAGTGGTTGTGGTGGGAGGGAATATGGTACTCAGCACAACCTCAAACCGTTTGCTGATACTACATACAGACTAGAATTCATTCCTGCATACATACTTAACTATACGACGAATACATTCTAATGTAGAATTTTGTTTTCTTCTAAGCTGTTTTTTAAACAAAGCATCACAATTCAATTTCTTTCTTCGGAGCTACCTCAGTTTTAAATTATTAAAATGGTTAATTTTGTCTGTCTGTTAACTACAAACCAAAACAATGAGCTGTCTGTGCTGTGCCCACCTGTGTTATCAAAAACCCGGTATTGAGTGTTGTGAACCTCCTGAGTTGCCGCTAAACCACTGGGAGTGTGGTAGGGAAGGGGAGGCAAAATAGTTAATATGTGAAGAATAGGTAAGTTTTGTTTGAAAAAGATTGCTATGAAGTTGTCGAGTAGCATTTTTCTCTAAACTAATCACATTTGTTTACATGAAATATATTACTACTTTATAAATGAAAGAGACAAAATAATTCACCATGAAGAATAGCTCATTTAATTTTAGTTCCGTTAGTACATAAAAGTCTTATATATAATTTCGCTTTGCTATAATGTATTTATACTGGTGGCGTCTGATGATGTGACGCAGTTTTTGGCTGGATTTTTCGATTTTTTTAATCATAGATATGGACAGTAAAGAAAATGTTTAATAGTAAATATGGAACAAAGGAAAAGGACTCCAGTTCAATGCTGGGTATGTATTGCCTGCTGATAGTAGTCGGAGTTTTTATGGTATTAGCATTTTGAATTATCTACTCTAAATTCTTTTACTTTAGTTTTACTTCGATTTATCGAGTTCTGCATAGCGCCATAAAATAAGGCTTCGGTGGTTGCTGTCATGTATAATATTTGCTTTAAACTTGATCATTGGTGTCTTTTTCATTATTAGTACGTGTATTTGGGTTTTATAATTATAGCATAATCTGGCTGCATATTGTCTTTATCAGTAAGGACATTATCTACTGTACAATATGACTGCATGAGCTCGAAGTATAAACTGTAGAACTAGAATGATAAACAGATGAGCCAATTTTGATAGTATACATACAACAGAATCCCAAGAACAACCATTTTTACTAAAGCAATAAAATGGGTATTTACCAATAGATTGTGCATTCTTAAAAAAAAAATCTATGTAGCCAACCAATCTAAAAAGTGGATCATGAGAATCTGGAAGTATCTCTTCTCCAATGTGGCATGATTAAGTAGTCCTCTTAGGATACAATACAACTAGCCTATGAAAAAGTGGTTAAGTAAGTTGATTAGACATGCTACCTCAGGCTGATTTAGCACATGACCTCAAACAACTTTAATATGTTCCAATTTATAACTTAGACAAATTTTAAAAATTTCATTGACAGTTGTCAGCTAAAACATGGTTAACATTTGACCAATGATAGTAAACCAACCAATAATAAATTACCTCAAATAATTGTTTACACCAGTAATAAATACAAAATGATAACACAATGTGGAAGATAGAACCTAGGAATCAGGATTTGGAAGTCAGAAGCAAGTATTTTGATTTTAAAAACTAATAAAAAGAGATCATTTCACAATAACAGTAACTTTACTCATTATTATGATCTTGTATGAAATAAAATAAGAGCTCTCTATCAACATGTGTGTTGCTTTCATTATTTCAGAGAGATAAACTAATTACAGAGTGCATTAGTGATATTCCAAGGTTTCCTGATTTCCCTTCAAGTAATCAAGTAGGAGCTATGGATTAACAGGAGGCTTGCCAGAAAATGTTCTGTGGAGCAAAACCCAAGTTCTCCTAACCTCAACTGAGTTTGAAGCAATGAAAGAGACTACACAGAAGTTAAGCAAAGAAAAATAAAAGTATTTATACACAAGCTCAATCAAAGTTTAAGGCAAGTGTATTTTATGTTGTCTTTAATAGAGAGTAAGCAAATAAAAATATTGAAATCAAGATGTATCTTGAATCTACTGAATGGTTAGTATTAAATATTAGAAAGTTAATTAACCCTTCTGAGAGTGGCTTCAATAAGCATAAGCTTCAGGCAAAGACCGGAGAATGATGAGGAAGTCTTAAGTATGGAACCAAAAACTTAGTATATTAAAATACTTTAAATGGTCATTAGAAAAAACGACTTCCATATAGGTTCATGGGAATGTAGCATAAAGTAGGTCTAATTGATGTTAACAATGTCATATGCTTATTGTTAGGGTATTGTGTTTTCATAGTGCATCCATTCAATGCCATTCGCTTAAACATTCATCGAAGATCATCAGCCAAGGGGCAGGAAAATGTACTTCTGATAAAACATTAATGATTTTCTCCTTACTTATCAGATTTATTTGTTATGAAATATTAATATTAACTTCTGATGAAAGCAAGATTAGAACTTAAAAATCTATCCAGTAATAAGTAGAGGTAATTAAATATTCTCTTCCTATGTTATTACTTACCAGCTAAAATCCCCATCAACTGATGAAGAATGTTTAAACTTATTTAAAACAATGCAAGTTTAACAGCAATCATATATTTCAAAGTAATAACTGGAACATAAACTTTATCTCAAAATTTTAAAATTAAAGCAAAACTTCTTCATAACCAATATTTGCAGTTTGATTTCCATGTACCAACAGATAAAGATTTTGAGGTGATCCCACCCTTGAACGCCCTACATCTTATTGACCATGTGAAAAGCATAGTTGTTTAAGAAACAATCCAGCAACTTTCATTGTTTGACCTTGAATCCCTTTAGAATAATCACCATTGTCTGAAGCATCAACCTGCCAAAATTGTTTGAGATTGACTCAATAGGCTGGGAGTAAATAACCAACAGGATTTGCAAAATAGAAATAGGATTAAGTTCAATTTTGACCCCCCTTAGGACATTCCCCATACTTTATAGTGTTTACTTGCAAATTTTGGTTGAGATTGGCTCAATAGGCTCAGGGGAGTTAGGGTGCAAACAAACACACATTTCATCTTTATATATATATATATATATATATATATATATAGATAGATAGATAGATAGATAAAGATGAAATGCATTTTATCATCATGTGTGTGCCCATGCTGTTAGTGATGTATTTGGTCACAATACCAATAATATGTCACAAGGTTCGGCCAATACAGGAGAATACTATTTTCAATGTAATATTTAATTAGTATGACTGCACAGTGATTGGAGTATAATGTCTAAAATATTTTCTTCTTTAGGTAAATGTGGATATGTGAAGAAATAAAGACTGGTGATTAGAGTATTATGTATTGAATGCCACTGCCTTAGAATTCCTACAGGACCAGGATGGAAATAAAAAAATTCACATGATATTTGATTAAATAAAAACTTTTATTTATGCACCTTTACCCTTTTTAAAATGGATGATCTGGTTGATAAATATAGTGAAAGCAATTATATGAAAAAAGCGTCGAATTTTTACTAGTCCAGCTGCAAGACCTTTGTTTGAAAAGTATAAGTTGTCACTGAATGTGCTCCAGAAGAGATCTAATGTAATATCTATACCCCTACCAAAACATCAGACCACAAGCAAAAATTCTTGTAATGGTTTCAGAAAAGAGGGTGAACTTTTGGAGCAGAGGACTTCCATGGCTAAATTCAAGTCTTGTATGAATACTAGATTAGTTACTAGAGAGAAACAATCAACAAACTGTCACCATTCATCAGATAAAGACAATATAAGCAGTAGAGAACAAAATAATTCAAGTAAACAAACTCATGAAAGAACAAGTCAAAGTACAAATGTGCTTACTTACAAAACCTCTGAAAGACAACTTAAAAAAAGGGTAGAAGGAAGGACAATACAAAATGAAATACCAATTTTTAGTCTTTCATCATCTCAATATTCTTCTGGTCATTGTTTGTTAGAGGCCAAGGTGGAACCAGAAGGATTAACTGATGAAAACTCTTCTCCAGTTTCTCCCTCATTTAGTCCTGGAGCTGAACAAAGTGAGACAATGCTTTTGACTGAAAAGCTTATGAAATCAGAACTTTCAGCTTTTAAAAAACCTTCAACATATCCTCAAGCTTCAGGTAAAAATGGAAATGCTAAGCCAAATATAATTAATAAAGAAAATTCAGAGAAGTATGTAGTTAAAGGTTCTACAGAATCTGTTCAGTGGATTAAAAAGACTGTTAGCACATCAAGTAGTGGTAAGTCTATTTTTGAAATTATAACTATTTGAAGAACTAGGGTTTAATTTAAAAACCATTTGGTAATGAGGTGTATAAGCATGTTTAAACTGATGTAGAAAGTATCATACATAATACATTATAGTTTTATCAGTCTTTGAAATATGTGAAATACATTAAATAGGACTTAAAGCAATACTGTAGTATTATCAAAGACAGAACCAGAATCAGTATTAATCTGTTCATTATCATTCATAATTATATTGAAAGTAAAGAGAAAATTAAAGTAATCTTTACACTTGTTTTCCTATTAATAAAATTAAAAAGGTTTCTTCAACAGTTTCAAGGTCTTTTAATAATTCTGTTAAATTAATGCTGGATGTCAGTAAACATAAAAGTTTCTATGACAATGTCATTCATAAAACTATTACTATTTCACATTAAACAAATTCAGTAAGGCATGTATATTTTACTGCAAATTCGCTAACATTTCTTTTTCCAACAAATACAAAGAATACTAATGAGAGCTAACTTCAGCCCATAAGTTGCAGATTTGTATCTATACAAACTGGAATTGTTATACATAACTTTTAATAAGAAAGACTGTAGTAAAGATTTGTATCTCAATTATGCCTGTTGTTATATTAATGGTATTCTTATAACATGAGATAAATTTCAAGGACAGAAAAGGACCCATTTGCCACCTTCCTGAGTCTCTTTGGTGAGTTGCCAGATTGTTTTTTTTTGGGGGGGGGGGCACAGTTAGCTAGATTTGTTTGCCTGTGGCACCCATACACTATGAACTCCATAGGTTCTTCAGGTTCTATCAGAAGGATCATTTGTTTGATTTTCTGCCCCCCATATTTATGATCCATTTCCTTCCCCTTCCTATGGATCCCATTTCATGCCAGCATCTCTCGGAGGCAGTTCATGATCTTTTGCACACAGTTGCTATTGGATAAGTATTTCACACTTCTCTAGGATTTTGTTCCCAGATGTTTGTGGTTCCCAAGAAAAACAGAGATTGGCATCCTGTCATTGAATAAGTATTTCACACTTCCCCAGGGTTTCATTCCCAGATGCTTGTGGTTCCCAAGAAAACCAGAGATTAGCATCCTGTCATCGATCTCTCCAATTTCAACCACTTCATCGTCTTCCTGCAGTTCACCATGGAGTCTTTCCTCGCCCTTTGGTGGTCAATCATCCAGGTCTTTGGATAACCAAGGTTTGACATCTCAGATGCTTACCTTCATATCCCCATCTCTCCTGAATCCAGATGTTACCTTTGGTTTGTTCTTGGGGGTCAATGTTTCAGTTCTGTGTTCTACCTTTTGGTCTGGCATCATGCCATACATCTTCTGTCATGTGGTAAGAACCTTTGGCCACCATGTTCACACTTAGGGTTTGCAGTTCCATCATTCTATAGATGACTGACTCCTTTTAGCTCTGTCTCAACAAGCCTCTCACTAACATACTCATTTCCTCCAACAGGAGGCAACTCTAGTGAAATGGCTTGTCAAGCTGGAGAAGTCCTATCTCACTCCCATGCAGCATCTCATCCATTGGGCTGTATTATTCACCACTTATCTCAGCAGGTCCCTACCTTCTCCACTTTGTCTGAGGTCAGGGGAGCTCTCTGTTTCCAAAGTAAGTCCTTTCCTTCTTTACCTGTGCATGAGGTTCTATCTTTTTTTGGGGGACCTGGATTTCATGGATGCCCTCATACCCTGGGGTCTTATACACATCTTTAGTGGGTGTTGCATGATCAATGGAATCTAGTTCAGGATCCCTTGGACTCTATCATCCTCCTCCCTCCTTCTCGACTTTGCTTGGTGGCTTAACAGAAACAACACTTCAGCTGATGCTCCTCTGCCTCCTCCTGATTTGTACTTTTTATGAATGCTTCTCATACAGGATAGAGAGAATATCTAAATTCTCAGGTGATCTCCAATCGTTTGACAGTGGTTAAATCTTCCCTCCACATCAACTTGTTGGAAGTTCTTGAAGTTTGTCAGGTCTTGGATTATTTTCTACCTTTAGTAAGGGGCCATTTGGTCATGATCTATTCCAACAATTCAACTGTTGTCTCTTATATAAAGCAACAAGAAGCACCCATTCCTGTTTGCTTTGCTTTCAAACATTGGTTCTCCTTTTCTGGGCCCAGTCTCAACAAGTTTGTCTTTTTGCTTGTCATGTCCTGAGTGCTCTGAATCTTGTAGTAGATTGATTATCTCATCCCAACAAGATACTACCTACAGAGTAGGCTCTTGCTCCTCAAGTGTTTTGGTGGTTATGCACCCTATTTGGTACTCCTCTTCTGGATGCATTTGTCACCAATCTCAATTACCAAACTGCCCCTTTTTTGATTGCCAGTTTCACATCCTTTGGCATTGGCGATGGATGGCTTCAGTCAGGATTGGACCAATATTTGCCTTTATGCTTATCCTCCTATCCATATTCTTCCTTGTGTCCTCTCCTTTATCAAAGCCACTCCATGTTAAGGCCTTTTAATCGCCTAATTCTGGCCTGATCAACTGTGATTTCCAATTCTGAATCTATTTTAATCATCCCTTACCATACCTCTTCCATACTCTGGCTTCACGCATGGATTTTGTTCAGTCCTGGCGAAATGATCCGGATTCTCTACATGGGTAGCCTCCCTTCTTCCTCACTCGGTCTGCACTTTTCTTTCATTGTTTCATAGAAAAAATGGTGCCTTTTGTGGAGTTGGTCTTTGTGCCATGGTTTCTTACCTTCCCAACCTCAGGTTTCATACCTTTCCAATTGCTTTACTTGGCTCCATGATAATGGTTTATCAGTTTCAACCCTTGCAGGCAATAGAGCAGCAATGTCTAATACCTTTTGTTTTTCCCTTCCTGTTGCTTTTTTCCTCTCCCATACTTTATCTGCCATTTTACTCCTTTTGTCTGATTCCTATAACTGTTTTGAATATCAATGTGAATATCAATACCCTTCCTCCATATGAACCTTTGGCCACTTGCTCATTGTACCACCTGTCCCTCAAGATGTAAATCTTATTTCTTTTTTGCACTTGGTTGTTGTAAGTCAGATATTTTTGCTATCAGTGGCTATCGTATCCTCTATCACCATACTTATGTTCTCTTTTATCCAGATCATAGTTGTTTTTCTCCAAAGACATCAGCAGTTTGTGAAGGGAACATCACCTTCACTACTATTTACCACCCATTTATATCTTATATGTATTCCCATTCCAATCCAAATCATCTCCTTTCTTAGTATGTGCTCTGCTTTGTTATGTTGCCCACAGTGTTTCCTTCCATTGATTTTGTTCTTGTATTTTTATATTATGGAATACTTCCTATATTCCTTACTGGATGGATTCACCAGCTTATTTGTTGTTACCCAGGGATTCTTGTTGCATTTTCCAAATTTCTTCCCACCAGAGATGTCATAACACCTTTTTCTTAGTTGCCCACTTCCTTAATTCTTTAGAAGAGATTGAGCAGGCTAGTATGTGGACCACATCCCACACATTTATAGCCCAATACCAACATCATTTGGTCATCTCTTCCTCATCTGACTATCATTTGCTGACTGTTGCCATTCTTTATACATCTTTTCAACTCTGAAAGGGTAGGCTTATCCTCTTAGTTTTTCCCTTTCCAGTAGCCCTTTCTTTTTTCCTGGATCCTGCTCTGTGGTGAATGGTGCCTGTCCAGGTTATACTTAAATGTAAATCTGCACCATATGGCTGTACAGGTCTATGACTCTCACTGAAGAGATGGAGTGTTCCACAAAACAGCTGGAGGTTTCCTCATGGTATCTTGCTTCATAAATAAGGCCCACACAAGACTGTACCAACTTGTGGACTATCATGAGTAAGGCAGTATCGGGAAAACTGCTGATCCCTCTGGTCCTAGTTGAATAAACTAGGACTGGCCTGCTTTTCAAAAATGGGTTTCATGGTCACCCATTGCACTGTCTTACAGTGTTGTGTTTCTCTAAACGATCCACTGTGTTGACCATTCTCCCAGTGGAATACAGGAGTCCTTGCCACTTACCAGTTCCTAGCCACTGGGATGGTGGACCATGAAAGCTTCCTTCTGAATGTGGCCGATTCCACTCAATTGAGAGTTGGGCAGTGGTGTTCTGTTGATGTAGATGGGGAGTGCTATTTTCCTACCTCAGATTGGAAGAAAAATTCCTGATGCCACCTGGTTTTGGACCAGATGAATCCACCACCTGCATTTCACCCCTCCAAATTGCTTTCCTCCATCCTACCACTGCCTGAATGTCATTTCCCAGGTGGACTGGTGTAGATTGGTACAGGACCAGCCAACATAAGTCCTAACACTTGTAGTTGTTAGGGACCCTCCTCCTACCATTGACTGGGGGCATATTCCCAATGCTGATGAGTTTTGGACTGGAGTTGAACCACCATGTTTGCATGCCCCCTTCCTACCATCACCTGGATGTCTTGTTCCCAGAGGTCCTGATGTTGGTTGTGTACTAGGTATGCACACGTGCCCTGCCTCAGATGTCAGAATAAAGTTGCTTTTCCCTTCTGCTTCCTGGTATTGAGGTGAAGATGCTTGGGACCCTCCTCTTAGCATGGACTGGAAGACAAATATCTAATGTCACTGATTTTTGACTGGAGTTGACCCACTGAATATGGTCTGATGCACCCTAGCCACTATCTGACATATCCAATTTCAGATTGGATGTGCATCTTTTCCATTCATTTAGTGACACATATCTTTGCAACGGGAGAAGAGTACACCTGATACAAGTGAGGTGTAACAAATGTGACCCTATACATTAGGGTATTATACTCCATGGGTTCTCATCAGGCACTTTCTGAAGAGTGCTCATCTTGGTAACTTTTGCATCAGTCTCTCCACTTTAAGGTAAGGTATCATATCGGAAGTTAATATTTTCCTACACTAAAAGTGTATTTCTGATAAATACATACCTCCTCTCACACTTTCCACCTGTCCTCCCCACTTCCGGTGCAACTTTTCTGCCTATTCTCAAACTGA